GATGCTGTTTTCAAATCAAAGAAATTTTGTAATGCTATTTTGACTATACGGACCTTCCAAAAGTTCTAATAATTTAGGAATTAAAAAAGTTAGTAATCAGAGGGTACCAAATTAGGCGTTGTAAATGTTCTCAACCAAAGTGCAGCAACTCCATAAAAGCCAGCCATGTAATGTATAGCTTAAAAAATTGTTATGTCATAGGTGAATTTTAAAGAATTTAATGTGTCTTTAAACAACTGAATTAATCACATTTTGCAGCAGTCTGTATTTTCAAAATCTTTATCTGATAGAACAATTCTTTGAAAATAATATCTCACACATTCCAACAACATTTTATAACAGTGTCCAGTTTGCTTATAATACTTTTGTTCAGATAGAGCAGTTCCCAATTAACAATATCTCAACAACAACATCATTTTATAACAGTGTATATTTTGCTTATAATACTTTTGTTCAGATAGAGCAGTTCCCAATTAACAATATCTCACATATCTCAACAAAAACAACATCATTTTATAACAGTGTACATTTTACTTATAATACTTTTGTTCAGATAGAGCAGTTCCCAATTAACAATATCTCAACAACATCATTTTATAACAGTGTATATTTTGCTTATAATACTTTTGTTCAGATATAGCAGTTCCCAATTAACAATATCTCAACAACAACATCATTTTATATCAGTGTACATTTTGCTTATAATACTTTTGTTCAGATATAGCAGTTCCCAATTAACAATATCTCAACAACAACATCATTTTATATCAGTGTACATTTTGCTTATAATAGTTTTGTTCAGATAGAGCAGTTCCCAATTAACAATATCTCAACAACAACATCATTTTATAACAGTGTATATTTTGCTTATAATACTTTTGTTCAGATAGAGCAGTTCCCAATTAACAATATCTCACATATCTCAACAAAAACAACATCATTTTATAACAGTGTATATTTTGCTTATAATACTTTTGTTCAGATAGAGCAGTTCCCAATTAACAATATCTCACATATCTCAACAAAAACAACATCATTTTATAACAGTGTACATTTTACTTATAATACTTTTGTTCAGATAGAGCAGTTCCCAATTAACAATATCTCAACAACATCATTTTATAACAGTGTATATTTTGCTTATAATACTTTTGTTCAGATATAGCAGTTCCCAATTAACAATATCTCAACAACAACATCATTTTATATCAGTGTACATTTTGCTTATAATACTTTTGTTCAGATATAGCAGTTCCCAATTAACAATATCTCAACAACAACATCATTTTATATCAGTGTACATTTTGCTTATAATAGTTTTGTTCAGATAGAGCAGTTCCCAATTAACAATATCTCATATCTCAACCACAACAACAACATCATTTTATAACAGTGTACATTTTGCTTATAATACTTTTGTTCAGATAGAGCAGTTCCCAATTAACAATATCTCAACAACAACATCATTTTATAACAGTGTACATTTTGCTTATAATAATTTTGTTCAGATATAGCAGTTCCCAATTAACAATATCTCAACAACATCATTTTATAAAAGTGTACATTTTGCTTATAGTACTTTTGTTCAGATAGAGCAGTTCCCAATTAACAATATCTCAACAACATCATTTTATAACAGTGTACATTTTGCTTATAATAATTTTGTTCAGATATAGAAGTTCCCAAATAACAATATCTCAACAACAACATCATTTTATAACAGTGTACATTTTGCTTATAATACTTTTGTTCAGATAGAACAGTTCCCAATTAACAATATCTCAACATCATTTTAAAACAGTGTACATTTTGCTTATAATAGTTTTGTTCAGATAGAGCAGTTCCCAATTAACAATATCTCATATCTCAACCACAACAACAACATCATTTTATAACAGTGTACATTTTGCTTATAATACTTTTGTTCAGATAGAGCAGTTCCCAATTAACAATATCTCAACAACATCATTTTATAACAGTGTACATTTTGCTTATAATACGTTTGTTCAGATAGATATTTCATGTAGGAGGAGACAACCATTTTCCCCAACCCAACATTGCCAAAGAATTGGTGACTGATGCTAAGCATGAAATGATCCTTTTTCTAAGGTGAATGCCCTACAAGATTAAGGGAAAATATCACTTTTATCAATATTTGATACTTTAATCATTGTCTGCATAAAATGGTCAAAATATTATAGATTCCTCAAATCATTATGTGAATTTTCTTCAGTAACATAGGCATATATAGCAATAATATTAAATTTATCTCCAAGAGTAATATTGGGAAATATACTATTTAGACTAAATCCATTTGTAGCAACATGTATAACAGAGGTTTCATATTTATATAGGCAGCTACTCTTATATTATTATAGATAATTGTCTTTTTAATTGCCCAACTCTTCTCAAATATTTTTAATGTTGATCTTTCTTACCAACCAGATATTTACATATTCTAGTATTTTCCTTTTCCCTCTCCTCTTATTCATTTCTACTTTCATCTCTCCAACAGAAACCGATATGATAAATCAAGTGCCTGTTGAAAATTTTATAGGCAGTGACAAATTATTGATCACAATAATTTTCATGAGTTATTGGAGTCTAGAAAAAAATTAAAACCAATACTTAACAGAATTAATTATGAATATAATACAAATGTTTAGAAATGCTTATTATATAGTTCTTTAGAAATATCCAAGTTAAAACTAAACAGTTTTTTTAACTATAATCTTCTAACGAATTAAATTCTTAACTAAGTTACCTCTTTTACATTAAAATGTTTACAATATGGAAAATTTTAAAAACTTACCATTTGTGACTTTGCACATGACCAGAACTGCTAAAAGTTTAACCACAAAAGCAAAAATTTACTTTGGACACACAACTATTTGTCTTAGCCATCATAACCCTGAAGTTGATATTGGAATATATTGAAAGTACTTGGAAAAATAAAAATGGATTTTTGCATATACAAACTTATATAAGATATGCAAAAAACAATATTGCATTTTTATTAAATAAAAGTGTTTCTTAATTCAATCATTAAATTGTTTTTAAAATAGTGGGTGTATTTAGCATGTTAAACAATAAAACTTTTAATCTTTCCCCCAAAAATGAAGGAAACTTTATTGTACTAAGCTATGCACCCTATTAAAAGCAACTGTACTTTGTACCTGTTTGTACTTCTCCCCAAAATTTGGCTTGGATCAGTCAATTTTAGAGTGACTGACAGAAGTATAGACTAATGGAAGTCACAGAATTTTATATATAAATAGATTTTATTTTCTGTATCTACTCAGTAAAAGTTAATATCTTTGTTCTCCTGCTGTTACAAGTGATATTTTTCAGACAACAAATACAATTTTTATATGTTGTTATTCCAGTAAATATGACCTGAACAGTACACTATAAGACTGCAGTACTTGAGTAGAATATATGAGAGAAAATGAGATCTGACATATTATATTATTAAATCTGGTTGCATCTTGTTAGAAAGCAATGCAGATAATTATTAACAGTATGGGGCTAATCAGTTGAACAGCCTGTATCCAAGTTGCCAGATATTTCAGTAAATCAATAGAATATTGCTGTATAGCTTATTTTCTGGTTATTACGATTCATTCAACTTAACACTGAATTATAAGATTCATTTAACCATTTGTCTATGTGTTGTGTCCCTTCAGGACATTGGTGATCATAGTTCTCCACAATTTCCTGTCCTTTGTAGCTCTTAATAAATTTTGTCTTATTGCAATCTCTCCTAAACCCTGTTTTGCCATTCATTTACACAAGCTTGTTAGGTAGGTTATGCACAATTTTCCTGTCCCTCTTACCTCCAATATGTCCTGTGAGTGTCTAGCCCTGTTTCCTCATTATGTACCCTAGAAATTTCAACTGTCTCTTTCCGAAGCAAAGTATTATTTTTATTCGGTTGAACTAGCTCAGACATTCATAAGTCTATAACACCAATCATCATTTTTCTGCATCAAGGTCAGAAGGTTATTAAGGTGGCATTCTGTGTCATAACATAACTGGTCAATGTAGGTGATTGCTCAGTGACCAACCCATTTTGCTCCATGGCTAGGTGCCCAGAACAGTAGATCACTTACAAGTTCTTATTTTGCTCACTAGCAGTGTCCTGCAAAGTGCCTTTTGCATTCACATAAGATTGTAAAAATATCAGGGATGGGTTCATAGAGCTGTGATTTAATTGGATGTTGTCTCCCAGAGATGTTCAGTATAGCTCTCAGCATCTGAGAATTCAAGCTTAGAATTCTTGGCATCCCTCTGTAGAACCATATTTCTGTTGCTTAAAGTCTCTTGTTCATCTGTGAGCTAATTTCCAGCATTCACTGCCATATTGAAGGACAGATACATTATTATAAAACCTAAAATCTTAAAATCCTTTCAAACTGTCACATGCAAGAAAAAGTTACTAATAGGTCTTTAAATTCTATGAATAACCATTTTTTATCATATTTAACAATAAGGATGTTTTTTTTAATTTTTAAGCAGAATTACTATACATACTTACTGACATATATAACAGACATTTACATTTTAAAAAATTCAAATATTATTGCATTCAATGCACTAATATGATTAGTATGTTGTCTACCAAAGCTTCTTATGGACAGCTATGAAGTTTAGATATGTTGTAGTGAGCAGTCCCTCAAATAACCTTGCAAAGCATACATAGTCTAGCAAATATAGTAATCCTTCCTTCGGTGCTATGTGTGATACATACTTGGGTAATCATGTCTTCCTAATTCATGATTGATTTGGCAGAAGAATTCCCACAGTAAGTTACTATTATTTTCTGCAATAAACTGGTTGCTAATCAAGGTTATAGGAATCAGACTGTTCTGCTATTTAATCCATAGCTGTGAGGAGAAGAGATAGATTCTTACTTTTCCCAAGCCTATTTGCATGTAAGTGAATGTAACAGACTTGGCTCTCCAATTTCTCATTCCAAGCCATTATCCATTACATCCCAGCTTACAGCGCCTGATATTCCGAAGCGGTCACCCATCTAGGTACTAACCAGCCCCAATGTTGTTTAACTTCAGTGATTGAAAAAGAACCGGTAGGTTTCATAAATTTTCATGACTGTCAGAGTCAACTGTGACACTCTAGGGCATATATAACCAGCTGAACACATTCAAAGTCAACTGGGTTCTAAATGATGTTATCGGAGTCAGAAACGTTGGGTTTTCTTTAATGGCTGGAAGATAGTCTTTGAAGTCTAGTGTTCAAAGCAGCAACCCACCTGAGTGAAAGGGTAGAAAATAATGATATAAATGAAAAAAGGGACAAATGAGACTTTGTTGAAAACTAGATATTTCCACTTGCGGTCCTACGTAAGTAGAGCCTTAGTAGAGTCCTGGAAGAGTTGCTCAGATGAAGCAAGAAGACGAGTCAAAGGGACCTATGTGCCTCCTATCTACTACCAGAGAGAATACTCAGTACTACCAGAGAACCTCATTGAAATAAATACCAAATTATTGAGAATAGGATTCATGTCTTCATTTCTTGCTGTTGATTTCATCTTCTGTCTCTTGTGAATGTACTGCGAGTCTTTTAGAGTCTTTGTACACCCTGGAGTAAATATATTTCTATAAATGGTAATTGTTCTGAGGAGCTTTCTTCTTTGATACCTCAACTTTATGAATTCAAGTGCAGTACTAGATTGACAGCTAGGTCTCATCATATTACAGTTGAAATTTCTAGATGTAACTATAAATTCTGTGCAAACAGTTTTTTCTTCTTGTACTTCTCTTCTGACCTCTTGGTTTCTGGTCAATTTTGATTTTCAAAATTTAAAATGCAATTTCAATCATTATCTCCTGTCTACTTAATTCCTTCTCTTTTATTGTTCTATCTCCTTAATGTTTTTCTTTTTCATATTCTTTCACACTTAACAAACCCTTGTATCTTAGTGGCTTTATTTTATTGCCTGAGATGAAATGATTAAAACAAAAAAAAAGGGTAGCAAGTTCTGTTCTCACTGGAAGCCCCACTACTATGGCCTTGTTCCAGACTAAGCTAAGTAAATAACCAAAAACTAGTTGTATCAGATAGTACAAAATGTATGTGTGCAATCTATGAAGTGTATTTAATTTTGCAAGCGCAGTACCAAGTGCATTTTCACCTGCAAGGATTATCCTACTTTGTTTTCCAGAATATCTACAAGATGTCATTCTATTCAGGACTATAAAACAAATGTATATGATGTAGCAATAACATTAGAACTTGTCTCTGTTGGTTTTGGGAGATTTCTTTCTACCAGCAATCAAACAAGTTAAAATCAAACAAGCCATGTGGATATCACACAAACACATTTTCTAACAGCAAAACCTATAAATGTCTGTCCTGGGTATGACAATAAACTACATCTGCATCCTGAGTAAGATGATAAACTACATCCAACAGCAAGGCTTCTGATCAAGAGGTTTTGAGGAGTGTGGAATTACTTCATAATTGCTGGTGTTCCCAGGTCCATCCTGACCTGGGGTGGTAGCACCTGTTATGGTAAATAGTGAACCCCCAAACTGGGGTCAAAACACTATGAGAGTGTAAAAATAGGTTTTTAATACCAGAAATACTTTGTAAAAAGTTATTACCAGCAATACATTTTTGAAAAAAAGAAAAAAACATTACCAGCAATACATTTTTGAAAAAAAATATTACCAGCTAGCTATACACTTAAAAAAAAAATATTACCAGCAATAAAAATCTTGTCTGCATTAAATAACCCATTGAGGTTGATATGCCATAAAACAAAACAAACCTATAAATGTTTTTCTTCTATTTTCAGCTGTATACACACAAGTATATTTTCTTTCTTTTTGAATTATGTTATTCTTTATATAAAAATTTATATGTAAAATTCCTTCATGTGTTAAATTTGTTTATTTTGAAAATATTCATCCTCATCAGCAACAAGATGCAAGTCCTCTTGTTACAAACTGGTAACCAATAGTAACCTCATCCATTACAATCCTGTAACATCTGTTTATTACACTATTTGTTAAACTGTTGCAGATATTGCTTCTAGATTAATTAAACACAGTGGTAAAAATATTTCCATATATAAATGACAGTTGTCATTATTTTATAGAGCATGTAAATGAAATTAATGTGAAAAGAATGGAAAGAATGAATTTCAACATGGAGATATTTTCTCATATTTTTATACAAACTAATAAAGGACTAAAAAGAATTTTAAAAAATATGTTAATGAGTATACAGCTGAAAAAGAAAGAAAGACATTTAACTTAACTGTTAGGAAATGTGTGTGTCAGTACATGTGTGCTATGAACGTATATGTGTGTGTAAATTCAGTCATAAGTTGCAGTCATAAGATATTGTCTCCAGGAGGGATGAATCCCATATTGGTGCATCTACGTACCTCATGTTTGGTTGAAACTAGGAAAAAGAAAAAGTGAAGGATAGTGTTCTTTCTTTTATAATCCTTAAACAGTACCACCTAATGGGTGTCTTGGCAGACCAAGTAGGAGCAATCCCTATACATCTTTACTTGTTAAAGTTGTATTATTTTATTATCAAAAATTATATTTGCTTTCTATGGCTTTAAAAATACAATTAGTTTTAAGAAAAGATATTGAAAAAAATGTGTGGTCATGTAATATAGATACTCTTAAGATATAAAAATAATTTTGTAGCATAAATTATCTTTCAATGTAACTTTAGTTCATCAAATTGTAATATCCATTGTTATCCTAAAGTTCTCAAATGGACTTTTTAGAAAGGAATTTTTAACAGACAGTGATCTTCATACACAAAATGAATTTGCAAAACTATGTTTTGTTTAAACTTTTAGCAGAAATATACACAATACAATTATTTGAACACCAGAGATAATATGACTGTAGCGAGTCCCGATAAAAATAAAAACATAAAAATAAACTACATAAATAAAATAAAGATAATTAAAATAAGGCATTTGCACTTTCCTTTAAAACTCTTATCTCTTTCTTTCTCTCCCTAAACTTCTCTTTTTATACTTCTCTCAACCTATGAGAAGGCAACCCTCAAATAAAAAGAGGAAGAAGAAAAAAAAGACTGAACCGAGCCAAAAAAAAAAAACAGAAGTTTGCAGGAACAAAGTTGATTTATTTGTGATTGAAAAATACCAAAAATCAGGTAGGCTCCATGCATAACTTCTGTTATAAAAATATGAAAAAGAAAGGAACGCCAGAAAATAATTGATGTTTGCACCAAATTCTCAAGCCTGCTGAAAAATGATAAAACCCTGACAATTCTAAACCAACTGGCAGATGGGATCAGAAAATGACATCAGGAGATGATGGAACAAAAAACATGGCCATGGCTTGAAAAAGATCTAGACTGTTCTAGTTCCACATGCCATGTCTAATGGATGTCAGTTATCTCCTGCTTAATTCCCTCTCCAAGTTCTCCACCACCTTAATCAGGTATTGAACTCACACTCTTTGGGTCATGTCACTGGATCTAACTAACACCTTTATCCACTGTGCCATGTGTCCTTGAGGACATCTGGGTATGAATTTCTGGGTATTATAAACCTAATTTTTTTCAGTACCATTTTTTAACAGTACTCATATTGCAATTTTTGTTGTTATTATCGCTTTTCTATGGCACTCCTTATTACTGGTTCCCATATTGTATTTATTTCTATGCTTCGTTGGCTAAGGAGATTTTTGTGGTCTAGCATATATGCTGATTCCTTAAGTTTACAAATTTTCCAATGATGTTCTTTATCTATGATCTCAACTTGATCCCACAGTGGGCGGTGATCTCCCTTTTCTCTCCATATGTGGTCAGCCATGCCTGATTTTTCCACTTCCCCTGATGTTACAGCTTTCTGGTGTTCTTAAAGCCTTACTTTAAGGGGACAGCCTGTCTCCCCTTTATATTTCTTTCTGCAGCTGCACGGGATAGCGTACACACAGTCTTTAGTCATGTTGTCCTCTATGGGGGGGGGTCTTACTTGGGAGAGATATCTGCGAAGTGTTATCCAGCTTTTGAAGGTTTTCCTGATGTTATATGGACTGCAAATACTTTGTATTTTCTCTGATAACCCCTTCACATAAGGCAGGCAGACTGTTTTCTGAGTGTTGTTGTCCTCCTCTTGTACCTGCCTATCCCAGTTTATGGGGGCTGCTGCCATGTACCCAAGGTAGTTGTTACATTGTAGGGTACTACTTATACTGACCAATTTTTTATCTAGTGTCACTGGGTCGCCATTTATGATTGATAACTGACATCCATTAGACATGGCCTGTGGAACTAGAACAGTCTACCCCAGTGAGTGAAATAAAGGTTCAGTTCAACATTCCAACCACCTGAAGAAGACCGGAGCATACAACGGCTGAAACATAATAAATATGGTGACAAAGATGAGGACAATAGTCTGAATAATGTAAATAGTGTAAATAATACCTCATCTCAGAAATATAGACAGACACTGACTTAATTGCGTGTATGAATTTTATTTCTGGTTAATTACTTTCAGATGACACAACTTAAATTGACTGGTCCATTCATAAAAAAATAGGGAAGGATTTTTTTAACAATTTTTGTAGCTTAGTATTCATTAACCCTTCCTTAAGTGATGAAATTTGTCAGAATAAAAAAATATTGAATTCTTATCATTTTAGAAAGAAGTTTCTGATCATAATATAAATACAGTGTCAAATCAGTCCCTGATTTAAGGAATTATCTGTACTTATTTTTATTTACAAATGTCAAGTTTGAAGCTGTGCTTATGTCATTGATAACTGTGTGCTACTGATAATGTCCTTTTCTTCAATTTGTAATAGTATACAGATATCAATGATGTAAGCACATTTTCAAACTTGACATTTATAAATAAAAACAAAGTACAGAAATCTCTTTAAGAAGTCAGGAATGTATTTATATTTTAAAGAGGACATACCTTTGAAAATATTTAAAAGAAAATTAGTACTTTTTGACTGACAAATGTCATGGCTTGAGGAGGGTCTAATGAATATTAATCTACAAAAATTCTTTCCTATTTTTTTTACAATTGGACCAGTCAGTTCAAATTGGTGCTTTCGAAAGGTATAC